TACAGAAAAAATTAAACTTTATTCCGGCCTGCAATGAGCTGTTTAGATTTTGTACACAGTCGCAACGGTTTAGATTTTGTACACAGTAAGAACACCTGGGGGTAATTTATGGGGGATGGTTTTTATTTTATTTTATGGAATATATGTTATTTATGCTTGGAGAAGAAAATTTTTCAAATAAAAATTGCTTGTAATGTTATTATCTATAAGTTTTGTCCTATAAATAATTTTCCTAAAATGGCCCGTATTCAAGAAATTTCGATAAAAAAGTAAAAAATTCAAATTTTTAAAAAAATTGTTCAAATAAAAGTTATTTGTTATGTCATTCTCTATAATTCATATTCTATACATGATTTTTCTAAAATTTACCGTATTCGAGATATTTGAGAAAAAAGTGTAAATTTCGAATTTTGAAGACAACTCACAAACGGATAAAGAGAAAAACAAAATTTTAAATTTAAGCTTTAATCCATTTGTGGTAAATTGATTAAATTTCGGGCATAGTCGGAATATCTGAGGGGTACTTTATAGAAGGTCGTTTTACTACTTTATGGAATATATCTATTATTTACGTTTGGAAAAGAAAATTGTTCAAATAAAAGTTACTTATAATATTATTCTCTATAATTTTTGTATTATACATAATTTTCCAAAAATGGTCCGTACTCGAGAAATTTGACAAAAAAATAACTAAAATCAAATTTTTCAGGAAAGTGTTCAAATAAAAGTCATCTGTGATGTTATTCTCTATAATTCTTGTCCCATACGTAATTTCTCTAAAATGGACCGTATTCGAGATATTTGAAAAAAAGTACAAATTTTGAATTTTCAAGATAACTCAAAACGAATAAAGAGAAAAACACCAAATTCTAAACTTAAGCATTAATCCAACCTGCGGTAAACTGATTAGATTTTGGGCATAGTCGGTACAACTGGGGGTAATTTTTATATTTTATGAAATATATCTGTTATTTACGTTCGGAGACGAAATTTCTTCAAATAAAAGTTACTTATAATATTATTCTCTATAATCTTTGCTCTATATAAAATTTTCCAAAAATGGTCCGTACTCGAGAAATTTGACCAAAAGTAACTAAAATCGAATTTTTAAGAAAATTATTCAAATAAAAGTTGTTTGTAATGTTATTCTCTACAATTCTTGTCCTATACATAATTTCTCTAAAATGGACCGTATTTAAGATAATTGAGAAAACGTGTAAATTTAGAATTTTGAAGAAAACTCAAAAGCGAATAAAAAGAAAAACCCCAAATTTTAAATTTAAGTATTAATCCATCCTGCGGTGAATTGATTAGAATTTGGGCATAGTCGGAATATCTGGAGGATACTTTATACGGGGTCGTATTTCTACTTACTATGGAAGATATCTGTTATTTACGCATGGAGAAAAAAATTCTTCAAATAAAAGTTGTTTGTAATGTTATTCTCTATAATTTTTATTGTATACATATTTTTCCTAAAATTGTCCGTATTTGAAAATTTTTACAAAAAGTGTAAAATTCGAATTTTTAAGAAAATTGTTTTCATTTTTGTATTTTTTATATTTTACTAATAATAATGTCAATTACTAAAATATGACAGTATCATTTGCAAATAAATTTAAAAACAAATTTTTTAGCTGCCCTTGCAGATCATTAATATATGTTATGAACACAAGTGGTCCAATAACATTTCCTTGTGGTACTTAAAAAAAAAACACTTAACATTTTACATCAAGTTTCATTTTATATTCTTGTTATGTGAAGTCTAACGCTACTGACTGTATTCCATTTTTTTCTAATTTTCTTATCAACTTATTTCGATTTATCGTTTCAAACATATCAATATTATCATTTTTAATTTATTTTCTCTATTTTGAATACACTCATTGAATGGCAGTTTCACATGAGAATCAGATTGTCCCACATATAATTAACTTTATAGGATGTCGTTTTTTTTTTACTTCAAGAATTATCTGTTATTTACGATTGGAGAAGAACATTCATCAAATGGAAGTTGTCCACGAAAACATTCTCTATAATTTTTATTTTGTACATGATTTCTCTAAAATGGACCGTAATGGAGAAATTTAAGGAAAGGTGTAAAATTTTAATTTTTTAATATTTTCAAAGTAAAGAGACTGATTTTTTTACTTTACAAAGTTTTTATTTCTTTCAAACATCAATGTTATCTCCTTCAAAGTAGTTCCCTTGGGCAGCTACACGCCGATTGAGACGTTGTTCCCACTGTTCGTAGCAGCGCTAGAAGTCTTCAACCGTTATGGTTTTCAGCATGTTCGTTAGTCTTTTGGATGATTTATTAAGTTCCGAAATGATGGCCTTTGAGGACATTTTTTAGTTTAGGAAATGACCCTTTTTCTGAGCCTTTCAAGGACAGTTTTATACTCAGAAAAGGGGTAATTCGCGTGAGACCAAACATTGCAGAGAAATGGTTGTTCCATCATCATAATGACCTCAAAAGGTATTCCTGTGTTTATTTTCTCTAATTTTGTATTTTTATAAATGAAGTTTACGTTTGCGAGAACCTCCGTAATTTTTATTTTTTAAAAATTCAAGTTTTTAAACATTTGCAAAATATAATATAACATCATCCTTTACCGCAATTCGAACCAAGCTTTAAATGCTCAAATTTATGTAAATTATCTGGTCATTTTCACAGATGTCAAAAGGATGTTTTTTTTAGTCCTTCACACAAGTAAACATAAACTACTCAAACTTTGAATCACTCGAAATATAGTTTTTTGATAGTAATTCTGATTGAAGTAAATAGAATTTTAGTAGGACAATAATTATTTCGTTCAAACTGTAATTTTGAAAATATTTCATGATTTTAATTATACTGGTAATTAACTTTGAGGTTTTCACCGATTATAAGAAATACCGAGGAATATCCGTATTTATTTTTATATTATTTTAACTCCGCTAATTTTAATTATGTAAATATTTCATTGTTAATTATACCAGTAATTAACTTCGAGGTTTTCAATGTTTATTAAAAATACCGGGGAATACCCGTATTTATTGATTTATTTTTATTTCATTTTAGCTTCGGACATTTTTATTTATTTTATTGTGTTAATTATACAGGTACTTAACTTTGAGATTTTTACCGCTTATTAGAAATACCGGGGAATATCCATATTTATTGATTTATTTAGTCTAATAGTAATTTTATATATATTTTATAAACCGTGAGCACCATAAGTCTTACCCCCCTATCTAACTCGTTACTGGAGTCTTGTTAGGAAATTCGCCGAGACACGTCGATTTTTGATTTTTACAGTGTATATTTTTGTATGAATAGTTTACCCTTAATTTCATCCCTTACTGGAGGGGAGCAACCCTTTCGAAAAATTTAAATGGCATGGGGTGGTGAGTGATAGCTCATTTGAAAGGGGGTTTTATTCTCTATTCAACCATGTAAAAAATTTTGAAATTTGCTTCATTAATTCTCGACTAATTGTTGTTTCAGAATAACGGAAATTAACGTAGCGCACTCATCCTTAGAATTAAAATTCGACCCTGCATGATTTCGGTTTTGGTTCAGACGTGAAGTATGACTTTTTGCCATTAGAAGGTCACTATTAGTTTAGTTGCTTTCCTATTTTGTGAGGTTTTGTTATTTTTAAACATTAATAAATCAACACGTAATGAAGCAAATTTAAAAATTTTTTGCACGGTTGAATAGAGAATAAAACCCCCTTTCAAATGAGCTATCACTCACCACACCATGCCATTTAAATTTTTCGAAAGGGTTGTTCCCCTCCAGTAAGGGATGAAATTAAGGGTAAACTAATCATACAAAATACATTGTAGAAAACAAAAATCGACCTGTCTCGGCAATTTTCCTAACAAGACTCCAGTAACGAGTTAGTTAGGGGGAGGGGTAAGACTTATGATTCTCACTGTATATTTTATATATTAGGAACACTGTAAGTTTATCCGTATTTTGATCTGTTCATTAATAAAATAATAATAGTACCATGAAGAATAATTACTTTAATTTTGACATTATTTAAAATCTTTAAATATATGGTTACTCAATGTCCCATTAGTTATGGTCCACCCTATATTAAGAACTGTATTCTATTATTGATGAGAAAAACCACAACTTGCACTGACACGTACGAATATTTTTGTTGAATACGTCCCTGTCTTCGATCAATAATTGCACGATGCACACATGTTATTTAGTATCCAGAGCCGGCTTTAGTTTTATTAATACTGTAGAATTAATTTAAAATTTTAACAAGATTCAAAATGGATGGTTCCCAAACCAAACACTTAACCTCAAAACATAAGCATCGCCCTTTACCTCTTAAGGTACGTTTACATCTGATATTTATTGCATGAGATTTGTGTCTGACAGTTGTTTAGTCCAGTGTAAACATACAAAAATTTCTCGCTGGACTAAACAACTGTCAGACATAAATCTCAAGCAACAAATGTCATTATTATATTATTTATTATTGATAATTTTGTACGGTTCAATTCGGTTGACACCAGAACTATTCACGAATTTTCTATTTACTCTATCAACGTCATTTATTTATGACCTTGTAACCTGACACGCTTTGCTAAATTAAACGATCTCTAATAAATTAATTTTATCTGAATTATTAGTACATAACATAATTCACTGGTTTAACTTTTGTTTAGCAACTTTTACATTTAGAGATATGCGAATTTAAATACGGTGGCGTCCACTTTTAATTGCAGGGTAATTGAGTTATCATATTTTAGTGTCCAATCCACGACCCTTATTAATAAGCTTTAGGTCCAGTCTTTTCACCTCTGAGTAAAATTAAAAGTAACTACTTGCTGAATAAACTGTAGGGCTATTGTTTGTTCAATCTGTCAAGTAAACCTACATGTAACTTTACTGAGAGGTCAAAAAAAATCGACCCTTAATCACTTAAATTATATAACCAACGATACAACTTATTAAATATTAAACTATTCAATATCCACAAGTAACTCACCTCATTTGCATTATACTGTCTTTTTTGAAAATACTCTTGATCTCTCGGCCACCGGAAGATTCCCCGTCGGAAGTACTATCGCCGCCGAACTTCGTTCGAATTTCCTTCGCCTTCCGCTCGTCCTTTCGTCCCTTCGCGTTCCTGGACGAATCGGAATCCGAACTGGAACCTGAATCGTTACACGATATTCCTTCGTCGTCCTTATCGGGTGACGTTCCCGTCGCGGCGTTCGATATGCGTTTTTGATCGGCGGCGGCGCGTTCGTCGGCCGCCGAAGATAATTCGGCCGCTGCTCGGATTTCCTCGAGCGTGACGGGTTGGGTGAGGAATTGCGAACTCGAGCCGTGTCGTCTGGATCGGTAGCGGGTTCTATCGACGGTTACTTTAATAATTAAAAAAAAATAGTTACATACGTATTAAAAAGAAATAAAAAAAAATAAAATATATAAAAAATAAAAATAAGAAAAATAAATAGAAATCAAAACAAAAGATTAAAAAATAATTACAAATTAAAACAAAAGATTAAAAAATATTCAGAAATTTAAACAAAAGATTAAATTAAAAAAAAATAGATAAAAACTAACGATTAATAAAAATATACGAAAAAATTAAAAATAAACGAAAAATATGCAATTTTCTCATCATTCTTTGTCAAAAAAGTAAATGAATAAATAAAATAAAAAATAAAGAATTAAAATATAAATTAAAACAAACAATAGATCAAAATAAAAATTAAAAAATACAAAATAATTAATAAAAAAATACTAATTTACTTACCATTGGATAAATCCAGTTTATAAGTATTGTTGATGGTGTCATTGTTATCTACTCGTTTTTCGGAGAACTCCTGTCTATGTTCTGAAATAATTTGTTCGTGTTCAGATTCATGAACTTGTTCGTCTACCTGAAACACAATTAAATATAAAAAATAGATAAAAACAAAAATTAATAAAAAAAAGAAAAGTATAAAAAATGGATGGTAACAAAGCAATAATAAAAAAACAAAAAAACGAAAAAATTAAAATGAATGGAAACTAAACATTTATAAAAAAACTAAAAGATTAAATACAAAAAATATACGAAAAATAAACATTTTTTAATTTCACAGGGAAGATGAAAAGCATTAATGTTTGACAAATGTTTCACGGAAGAAAAAGTAAAAGAAAAAAACAAGCGAAATATTTTATATATTTTTAATTTTTCAATCATTTTTTAATGATTTTTAATAATTTTAATGATTTTAAAGATTTTAATGATGATTTTAGTGATGATTTTAACGATGATTTTAGTGATGATTTTAACGATGATTTTAATGATGATTTTAATGATGATTTTAGTGATGATTTTAACGATGATTTTAACGATGATTTTAATGATGATTTTAGTGATGATTTTAATGATGATTTTAATGATTATTTTAATTATTTTAATGATGCTTTTAATGATTTTAATGATGATTTCAATGATGTTATTGATTTTAATGATGATTTTTACTGATTTAATTAAAAAATTTAAATAATTTGCTAATTTAAACAGTTTTAATAATTTGAATATAAATAATTTAAATTTGAATAATTTTTCTAATTTTCTTTTTTCTGATTTTTCTAATTTTCCTAATTTTTTTAATTTTTCTAATTTACCTAATTTTTTTAATTTTTCGTAATTTTTGTAATAATATTCGTAATTTTCGTATTTTTTTTGTAATTCCCCCAATTTTTAGTAATTTGCAAGATATGTAACGGACATTCTTGAACCCTATGTTGTACTTTGCAGTCCATTCATTGGTGACAATTTTGTTTTTATGCAAGACAACGCTCGCCTGCTCACAGCTTTAATTGTTCGTCAGTACCTTAACGAAGTTGATATTCCCACATTGGATTGGCCAGCTCGAAGTCCTGATTTAAATCCAATAGAGCATGTCTGGGACAATTTATCACAAGTACGAAATCGACCAATTGTTCCTAACACCTTAAATCAACTTCAAAATGCTCTAACCGAGGAATGGGACAATTTTCCGGAACAATTGATGCAAAGCCTGATTTTAAGTATGCCACGTCGATGTCTGGCAGTACTTAGAGCACGGGGTGGTGATACAAGGTATTAATTTTGTTTTATTTATCGATTGCACCCAAATCATTTTTTAAAATTGTAAAAAATCGAATAAATTTATTTGGTCCCTTTTCAAGTTTTATTTTTTGCTTACAAATAGTTCTTAATTTATAAGAAACCAAACTTTAAAAAAAAAATTGCAAATATTTTACGTTTTGTAAGAAAATTAAAATGATGCTTTAATTTTTGTGCGGAGTATATTTGTAATTTTTCCAATTTTACAATGTCTTACCTGTTCTAGTTCGAGCCCATCGCCCAAGGACTGAAAAGCCGAATCGGAAGACATTTTTTCGCACGCGATACTCTCCGGGCTGTCCTCGTTATGCATCGACGACGAAAAGAAACTCTTCATATCATCGTCGTCCTTTTCCAAGGACGAAGTGAAATCCAACAGCGAATGCGAATCGCAATTTTTAGAAAAATTCGAACTGGCTCGATCGTCGTTGAAACGTTGCGGACTCTTCACCAAGTTGCGACTGAAAAAGAACAAATAAACCATTTTGAAATAGAATAAATTGATCAGTAACAAAGAAAATACGATTCTTTCCAAAACGTATTCGACAAAGCGAAACATTATTCATTTAGAAATGATAATAACAGAGGAGTAATCGACAACGTTATGAATGAGTTGATTCGAATTCAATATCTATATCATCCAAAATTTTTGGAATAGTTGCTAATCAGATAAGTAAAATAAAAAAAAAAGATTACATCAATTTTTGGAATTCAACTGGCGTAACTAATGTATTTAGAAAAATACAACTTTAATTATTTTACTCAAAAGAATGTAGACTTATCATGGCATAAAAAATGCAAATAATGAATGATATATTTTTCCAATTTTAACATTTTTTTATAATCGCAGCAAGGGCCAAAATGATTTACTTTATGTAACTAGTTACATAAAGTTCAGCATTATGTAGATGATTACGAAAAGTTCATTATGTCACTTGTTGCGAAAAAAAGCAAATAAAAATTAATCTTATCTTATTTTAGATGTACGCTAAGCAATCGATGATTATAGCATAATGATTTATTAAATAAAATTAAACAAAGTGAACAGTATCTTCCGATCTCTTGTACAGCTTACTAAAATCACACTTGTAAGACAGGTATTTAAATATAAAACTTCAACCAAATAAATATGAAGTCCCACAAGGCAGCGTCTTAGGGCCACTATTTTATTTAATATACACCTGATACCTCTCAATTTCTGATTATATCACAACAGGCACGTTCGCAAACGACTTATTCTGCCAGTTCATGAAAATCCTAAAGTCGTTTGGAACCGACTGGATATTCTTTGAGACGGACCATTTTAGCTTCTCGAAGGACAAGTCACTGTACCCCCTAAGCGTAATAATAACAATAATAATAAAATGCCATTATTTGCTTGTAATATACAATGCACATAAACATCATGAGGCGAAGTCTAGCTTGCGCTACTTAACTTAACCTCAACATAAATATAAACTTAAAATAATCAAAAGGTATCAATCATTTACAACATAAAAAAAATAAGAAATTTAATATACAATTAATTTATGATTAAATAATGTTCTCCCTGTATTTAATGTAAACTGAAATCAATTTAGGTCCTAAAATCCATTATTTTTAAAATGCAAAATGTATGGAACTTAAAATACAATTAAATAAGGAAAAATGTTTGAAATTAATAACATATTAACGTTAGCATTGTATTTATTGCTTAACTAATGGCAACGTTTTATAATTTTGTTTTAAAAATGTCAGAGAACATGTCCTAATTTCCCTAGGTAGACTGTTATATATTGAAATGGCGTTATATGTGAAAGATCTTTTGAAAAATGATAATCGGTAATTCGGAATCGTTAAGTTGTGTGGATATCTCAAATGTAAACTGTGCAGATCTTTCCGATATATCAATTTATTTTTTAAATATGTTGAAGAAATTCGAAATACCGTGGCCGCCATCTGATATTTAAATATATTTCCTATATTGAGCCAGCTAAATTCTTTAATTTTATTTGATATTCTATTATAATTTCTGATACCAAATATAAAACGACAACAAGAGTTTTGAATCTTTTGAAGTCTGTATTTGGTTATTTGATCCAAACAAGGATAGTAAATTAACAGTCCATAATTTATAATGGACAATACAAGACTTTCACAGAGCAACTTACGTAATTTGGAACTCAAAATACCCCGATTCCTGTATAATTGACGAATAACCAGATACGATTCTGACTAGAAGCGAAACATAGTCCTGAAACCTTAGTTTGCAGTCATAGATAATGCCTAATTTTTTGGCACTTTTATATGATTTTAGAGGTTCATTTTGAATAAATAACTCAAGGGTTTGTTGCACATTATGTTCTATATTTGTAGGACAAAATAATATAGTATGACATTTACTGGCATTTAGTTTAAGGTTATGATTCATAGAAAATATATACTGCATTTAAATCTGAATTAATGTTTTATGAGGCTATATCTACTTCACATGGGTCAAAGGAATAATATAGTTGCGTGTTGTCGTCAAAAGAGTGTATATTTATATGCTCCAATAATTTATAAAGGTCTGAAATATATATGGAAACAAAAGCGGACCAAGGACATAGCCTTGGGGTATTCCTGATGTTACACACATATAGCTAGATGATTTCTCTAACGTTACTTTTTGGTAGCGGTTACTTAAATAAAATTTGAAAACGAAACCAAAATATTTGAGTTTAGCACAAAGAAGCTGATGATCTATAGTGTAAAACGCTTTAGAAAAGTCAAGCAGAGTAACTGCTGTAGTTTTTCCTTCATCCATTGATATTATAATGTTATCTGTTAAATCTAAAAGTAATGTTGTAGTATTGAATCCCTTTCGAAAACCTGATTGTTTAGTGGTTACAATATATTGAGAAAACACGTATGTGTATGTACAAAAAAGTTTCCAAATCGATGTTGCATTTCAGTAGTGTTCGTATTTGAATAAAATTTTATATTACAAAAAAGTTGAGTAGAGAAAGGGGCGGTGACACCCTCCAAAATCCTACAAAAATAAAAAAAAATATATTTCCTCTACCTCGATTTTATTAGTCATGGTATTCCAATACGTCATACAAAATTTCATGAAAAAATGTCAAACGGTTTAAGAGCAACGTTAAAAAAATTCATTTAAATTTTTATCTTATACATCCTGTAACTATTTTTGGGTGCACTTTTGTATATAGGTAAGTACGGTTTAATCGACCTATTTTTGACCCAAGAATATGTGGTATAATTTATGACCAATCTTTTTGAAACACCCTGTATTTGTTTACTAATTAATTTTTCTATAAGAGAGGGTGAAACATTTTTCTCATAATAAGTGGCTAACTCCACTTTTTTGCGAAAATGGGATTTAGATACCATCTATTAGAACGTCTAAGTGACTTTAGAGTGTCAACTTAACCGGATAATTTTAAATTGAATTAATAGAAAGGACCCCGCAATAATCTTATGGAAATTGAGTTTCTGTCAAATTGTCTGAATTTTTGATATCTTGTAGATTTTATCATCCTGAACAAAAGTCTCCATAGGCACAAAGTGCCAAAATGAATATTTTGTTAACTGTCAACTGTCAATTTTGCCAATCTGGCATGAGAATTGAATTTAGCGACCTCAAGAACCCAAACTCTCAATGTCAACAGAGAATATTTGCTTCTCTATTCTTTGTTGACAGTAAATTGACAGCTGTCAACGGTCAATTTGTCCAATCTGACATGAGAGTTGAATCCAGTGACCTCAAAAACTTTACCCTATATATTAGAAAAATTAAAATATGCTTTTGACATCTGTAAATGTGTTAGATGTGAAGAAGAACAGCAATAATATAATAATGTATTTGTTAAAAAATAACGTTTTTCTTCTCTCCTGTAAAATTTTTCAAAACGGAGATAGGCATTTTTCTTATTAGGACGACGATATTTTGATTCGAGTATTTTGTTATAATGGTTGTTACAGATAATTAAAAAACAAAAAAAAAGAGAAGAGTAATCCCTCTCTTTTTCGACGGATACTGTTTACCGGGTTGTTGATGATTATTTTCGATATTTTTTTATGACAGAGTGCTAGCTGAGGTTACAGTAGAGCGCTAGGGGTTACCAACCCCACTCAAAAGTAACCACAAAATGAAAATTTAAAAATGTTATTATACTATTGATGTATGGTAGCAAAGGCAGAAATGGGTCACCACCATTTTGGGTCTCACCCCCATTCACCAAAATCACCAATGAATGTTATTATGCAATGGGACCAAAAGGCTAGACTTTTGGTACTATATAATACAATAAGTCGCAAAGAGTGACTTTGGAATGAAATTGAAGAATATCATTATGCATATAATTATTAACGGGACCAAAGGAAGATCGTTTTGGTGTAAAACATTTTTTAATGTCACCAGATTGCTTGTGGAACTGACTTTCTAAAAGGTCACATAAAACTGTCCGTGAGAAAAGCAGTCTTTATTTCGAGATGTCGAGATATGTCGTTTTTAACAATCCCCTTTTCATATTTGTTATACCATTTCGTAAAAAGTTTTTAAATATTTTTATTAATTTTTGTTAATTTTTATTAATTTTATTTATTTTCATTTTTATCCATCTTTATTAATTTAATTTTTATTCGCTGATTTATTTATATTTTTTTTTATTTATTTATATTTATGTTTTTATTTATTTTTATTTATTCCAAAAACCTTGAAAGACGTCATTATTTATTAGTAGCTACAAACTTTCACCCCCCTTTTCCCCCCTTTAAAATGCGACCATCCAAAAACCCTGAAACACGACATAATTTATTTATGATCAATAGTTAAATTTCAATTTTCATGTTTCTATCTTTAAAAAACACAAACTTTCATAATTAAATTGTAATACAAAGACAGGATTCCCCACTAGGACATTCACTGTTTTAAAAGTGGCGCTGGAAAAAGAAAACAGTAACAAAGACTATACAGAACAGGAGGCTAATAATCAAAGTCCATTCTTCTCAATTTTCGTCCCAATTTCCCTCTTTAAAGTTGAAATTTCCAAAAAATCCATTTTTAGCGGATGCTTACGTTATAAAATAAATCTATGTTCCAAATTTCAGCTTTCTAGACAGCGTAATTTTGACTGTGCGTTAATAAGTCAGTCAATCAAGATAAATAATTTTGTATATTTAGATTAGTCAAAATTAGAAAAATTAAAAAATAAAGAAAAGAAGAGAGGTATCTTCAGGCGGGTACATTTTTTATCAATATTTTTTATATAATTAATAAATATTAAAAAAATACACACTTGAAAATAAATACCTCTATGCGTTTCTTTTCTTTGTCGATTAATTTCTACACACCTACAATCTTTGTTTAAATTTTAAATAGCTATTAAATAATTTAATAATTTATATTGATTCATGTGGCATTTAAAAACGTAATAAAAAAAATACCATCGACCTCTAACACCACTTTCACTCTTAAGCTGAGTCACATTGCGCTTGTCGAAAATAGATCACGGAAATGTATAAATTTAGTAGCGGCAAATCGTGTTTTAGTACCAGAATTAACTCTTTCTATCAACCTAATACAAATTCTATTTCGATACTGAAAAATGTAAACACCGCGGACGAAGCAATTATCTCTCGGCTTTCGTACATTACTATCTGTTTATCTATTTGATATCTCTTTTAATAATTCGATTTTATTTGCGTTAGTTTATCTTTTACATTTAGATTAAAGACATTAGTTTAAATTAAGCGCAACCAGATAAAAGATAGTATTTTTTATACCACATGTTTCATTAAGCAAAGAAATAGAAGTCGTCGATGTTTCTAATTATACCACTTTCAATTAATCTTTAGAACCGAGACAGTTAATTCATTTCTTTATAGGGTTGTAAATTATTCTTAAGGATTGTTTTTAGAACGGAAGTTACTCTATCCAAATAATCATAGACGATGCAAATGTGTAGTGTCAGCGACGAATTAAAAATTTATGTATGAGTGAAAAAGGATAATTCCTTGATTCGTAAAAAAATCCTTTTATACAGACTTTAAAGCCAAACATACCCACTGGGGAGGTCCAGATTAACAACCACAAAAGAAATAAAAGAGAATATTAAACCGAAAAAAACACCAGTATGATTTAATTAATTACCGGGGAGATACTAAAAAAACTGACGTATCAATCTCTTTTAAATTGAAGTACTTGTATGTAAGATAAATAAAATGGCTGAGGTAATAATAATAATACCTAAACCAGGCAAATCACCAAACGAAGTTTCATTTTATAGACCAATCTCTTTACTATTTGTAATTTCGAAATAAAAACCTATGATATAAGATATAAAAAATCAACCAACTAATTGAATAAAAATAAAAATATTATAACATGTATCATATATGAATATTAATAATAAAGAACCAAATATACTTGGAGAAAACTTTGTAAGGTAGAACTGACAAAGGATCTACATTTTCCCAGAGGTCCTTAAACGTCAATGAAATTTAGTTTCCGCCGAACTAAAACTATGATATTTTTGGTGACTACTTGGAAAAGTAAAAAAAAAAGAACAAAAATATATAGGGTGAAACAAAAATATTGGTCATAATTTATACCACAAATTCTGGGGTTAAAAATAGGTCGATTGGACTTTAATTTGGCATGTTAGAAAACAATCTAAATATATAAAATCGTTAGTTCTGATTGATTGACTGACTGACTGATCTATCAACGCAAAACCAAAACTACTAAGGTAAGCTAAAATTTGGAACAGGTTTATTTTATAACGTTAAGAAAGGATTTTTGAAAATTTCAATTTTAAATAGAAAAATGAGGATGAAAATAGGAAGGGGGACATTGCATGAAAGTCTTGGTTCTTTGAAGTTAGAACCATAAAAAATTTGAAATACAGTTATTAAGTATAAATAAAGATATTTTTCAGGGTTTTGGATTTTCACATTTTAAGGGGGAGAAATAGGACGGGGGAAGTTTTTAAAGATAGGAACTTGAAAATTGGAATTGTAACTACTCATAAATAAATAATTACATGTTTCAGTGTTTTTCGGTTTTCACATTTTAATAGAAGCAGCGGGAGGGAAGTGGGTGAAAATTTGTATGGATTTTTTAAAAGCAGAAACTGAAAATTGGAGCTACTTATCATAAATAAATAATGATGTAATTATTTCAGGATTTTTGAATTTTCACATTTTAAGGGGAGGAAATGAACGGAGAAGTGAAAGTTTGTATAAGAGTATCATGACATATTTCAGGAATTTGGATTTTCACACTTTAAGGGATGAAACGGGGGTGGACATTTTTATGTAAGGGACTTGAAAATTAGAATTGTAGTTATTCATTATAAATAAATAATGACGATGTTTCAGGGATTTTGGATATTTATATTTTTAAAAGGGGGAAGGGTGAATTTTGGATATTCACATTTTAAAGGGATAGAGGGGTGAAAGTTTGTATGAGGGTATCGGTTTTTTAGAAATTGGAACTTGAAAATTGGAATTGTAGCAACTAATAAATAAATAAATAATGACGTATTTCAAGGTTTTTAGATTTTCACATTTTAAGGTGGGAAACGGGGGAATTAAAATTTTTACGAGTATATCGAATTTTTTAAAGGTAAAAATTTGAAAATTGGAATTGTAGCTACTTATAAATAAATAAATATTGATGTATTTCAGGGTTTTTGGATTTTCACATTTTAAAGGGGAAACAGGGAGTAAAAGTTTTTATGGAATTATCCAATTTTTTAAAGGTAAGAAATTGAAAAAAATGTAATTGTAGCTTCTCTTTATAAATATTAACTGAGGTTCAGGGTCGTTCAATATTCACATTTTAAGAGGGTGGGAGAGAGGAAGGGGGGGTAAAAGTTTGTTCGAGAGTATCAGTTTTTTAGAATTAGGAACCTAAAGATTGTAATTGTCGCAGCTCATCACAAATAAATAATGACGTATTCCAGGGATTTTCACATTTTAAAGGGAGGAAATGGAGGAGGAGTGAAAGTTTGTATGGGAGTATCGATTTTTTTAAAGGTGGGAACTAGAAAATTAAAATTGTAGCTCCTAATCATAAATAAATAATGATGATTTTGTTTCATCAAGTAGGTTTTAAATTTATTTCAACATTAAAATTTGATTTTTCTCGAAAACGATTGACTTTAGAGCGTATGACCAAAAGTACCTTTTTTGTGTAGAAAACATTGGCGGTTCATATGGGTGTCTCAAAACCGTACTTTTTCCAGTGGCGTAGAATTTTTTTTTTAATTTCAACACCCTGTATCTCGAAAATGGTGCATTTTAGAGGGTAAGTTAATAGAAACGTCCTGCGCATATATTATGAAACACCCTGTATTGTACATATTGTATATTGTATATTATGCATATTATATATTGTACACATTGTATATTGTGCATATTATATATTGTACATTGTATATTGTATATTGTACACATTGTTTATTGTGCATATTATATATTGTACATTGTATATTGTACAATGTATATTGTACATTGTATATTGTACATTGTATATTGTACATTGTATATTGTACATTGTATATTGTACGTTGTATATTGTATATTGTACATTGTATATTGTACATTGTATATTGTACATTTTATATTGTACATTTTATATTGTACATTGTATATTGTACATTGTATATTGTACATTGTATATTGTACATTGTATATTGTACATTGTATATTGTACATTGTATATTGTACATTGTATATTGCACATTGTATATTGTACATTGTATATTGTACATTGTATATTGTACATTGTATATTGTACATTGTATATTGTACATTGTATATTGTACATTGTATAGTGTACATTGTATATTGTACATTGTATATTGTACATTGTATATTGTACATTGTATATTGTACATTGTATATTGTACATTGTATGTACATTGTATATTGTACATTTTATATTGTACATTGTATATTGTAAATTGTGTATATTGTACATTGTAATCGTATATTGTACATAGTATATTGTGCATATTAAATGTTGTATATTGTACATATTGTATGAGATCTACTATATTTTCAGGAAAAAAATTTCCTACTTTGGTAAATCTGTTATTAAACTCATTTGCCATTTCTTTGTCCCTTATTAGGAGCTGCTCTGACTCATTTTTATTGACTATTTTTTTTAGAATTGATATATTTCCTATTACTTTATTTACTTCGTTTTAAATAGTAGAATAATTCTGTTGCTAATATCATCAGGCAGATCTAGTACATTTGTTGGACTGTATCTTGAGAGGGAAACTCGTTATTTATTTAATTATTCGACAACCAAAAACACAAATGATATACATATTTACACGTCAAAGTATCTCTGCATGGACGATAAAAAGTGTTTAAGTTTAAAAGTGAAAATATTGACCCCGAAACATGTGACCGTTATAAGATTGATGGTAGACGCATCTTTACTGGTCGAAGGTTAAAACTAGAGTATGTGTGCTAAAAAAAGATTTGTATCGTTTTGGGTGATAAGGAGGAACTTGTCAGTTCTTGTGTTTTGAGCGCGTGTCCCAAATGATAGTCTTACATCATCGAGAGTGGAATATTCCTAAAATTATTTTAGCTTTGTTGAATAGGAAAAAGAAACGGAATTATATTTAGTTTTGGGTCAAACGATGCCTACGTGACATTCCTCACGATTTGCAAGAAATATATTTAGCTTGTACTATATCTAGAGCGAAATGAGATTATTTGAAAGCGTGGGTTCAAACACAAATGGGTTGAATAGGAGCGATTTGTGAAATGTTATGAAATTTGAACAAGTGGTACAGATACTATTAATCAATTGATATCCAATGGCATAATTATTATTTCGTTATCAAATCGCGACATTTCTCGTTAATTACGGTACCGGAAGCAATTGTTTTAATCGTTTGGCAAAGTATCATGTTTTTACATGCCTTTGGGACATATTTCGGCTTTATATTTAACAATTAGTTACTTACTAATAGTAAAAAACAAACTTACCTCGCTTCCAACTCGTTAATAGTAACCGGTTGCGTTTTATATCTGTTGCTGGTCCGTTTGTATTGGCTCCTTTTCGGCACGGCTCCCGTCGAGCTGCTTTGCTCGAACGACATCACCAATTCGTACACGGAAAACGGTCTCGGCTTGGACACGTCGCTGTTCTCCGTTTTGTTCCTCATTTTCAACGCATCTATATCGAAATCGCTACAAATGGTGTGAGAACGTCGAGTCGGTCTTTGACGCGTTTCTTCCCCGTTGGTTTGGTTCTCGCCGAAACTGCAGCAAAGAAAATTTTGTACTAAGAAACTAGAAGCTCGGATGGTAAAGTTATAACAATAGAATAATAATAGAATCGTTTGGGAGTTATAGATCACGGATAAAAGATGGTTTATGGAATCAAGAGTGTTGAAAAATGAATTCTACACTTAGGCACCGGACAAAAATGTCCTAAACAGATGTTAAAAAAGTTACGTCACTCGAAAGTCACGCTATATAACACTCGCTGAACGAAACTATTGGTCCAAGTCCAGACTTGGGGCATGACTTAACAATTCGAGTTACCGAGATCAAGCTTTGAAAAATTAATTAATTTCGGTTTCATTACCTTTAGAGTTCACTTCGACAAGATTCAATGAAAGAACGTAGTATGTAAACACATATTTTCTGAGATAAAGCTTTTGATTATGTTGTAAACAATTGTATAACACAACATTTTTGTCGAAAAGATTGTCAAACCTTTTACAAGACTTCAGAGCTCAGCAGGTAAAAAAAAGGAAGAGAGTTACAACAACACGAATCAGAGAATAAAATGTGGAGAAGTGGAAGATAAACTCGACTAATGAAGAGTTTTACTGACAAAAAGATGACGAGGACAATCAGGTGCTGGAATTGCGGTGAACTGAGATATGTACGCAAACGCCGTAGGAAAATTAGAGTGGGTCAGCTTAGAGGAGGCAGTTTCGACCCGGAACCGTTCCAAAGACCCTCTCTTACTGATACCATCTTTAAAATGTCGCAATGATAGTATATACGTAGACGAAGAGGTAAATGGTAGAAAGTATACACTGTTGTTTGATACTGAAGCAACCAGAACCCATTATACAGTCAAAAATCCTAAATAAACGTAGCAATTGCTGTAAGAAGTTGGATACTGTAAATAAATAGTGAATAATTATTTAATACTGTTTAACCCGGACGAATTTGGCTAAAATTAACGAAGATAGGCGTTAGTGTCTTTTTAACGATATTACTACACATATTTTACCGTTATTTATTACATCTACGATATTTAACATTAAATATCGTTTATCCCATACGATTCGGACTAATCATAACGGAGATGTGAGTTAATACCTTTGTGACGATGTTACCGAGTGCGTTTTCAATAAATAACTCATTTCAAATGACGCAACGTTTGTAATAATGAAATATACATTAACTGTTACTCACCTAGCTCTAAACGACAGCCTCCTAGACGGCTCCTCTCTGAAACCGCCCTGCTTCAAAATCGGCCGCACCTCGCACTCGGTCTCGCTGGAATTCTTCGAATCGCCATTCGATTCGGCTATCTCCGTTTCCACGGAAGTTCGCGGCAACTTCAAAATCGGTCGCGGCTTCTCCTCCGATTCGTCCGTATCGGTGCTGGATTTCTTCTTCAAAATCGGCTTCGGAGCGTCGTTGAACGCCTCGTTGTGATGCATGTGCTCCTCGGAGAAGCTTTTCTTCTTCAAAATCGGCCGCACCGATTCCCCGTCGGAGTCTAGAACCATTTCGGCGCCACCGGCTGCGGCTAAAATGACGGCGGTAGTGATTGAAACGTGCGGGGAACTACCGGTAGAACTGGCGCTACTAGCGCCCGATCTTCGCTTCAAAATGCTTTGAGGGGAGTTCAAGGAGTGATCGTCGTCGTCGTATTTGGACGAGCGTCGCTTCAAGATGCTGTGCAAATGCGTTTCGGGCGATTGCGTCCTCCTCAGCTCTTCCAAAGAGGATCTGCGTTGGTTCTTCAGGATGGAACGCGAGTCCGTTTTGTTGGCTACGTCGGGACTGCAGCTGCGGTGTCGCATCACGGTTGATTCGTCCAGGCTTCGGCGTTTCTTTAGAATTCCTTGTTTTCGTCTGGTTGTAGAGGGTTCTAGTACGCTTGGAGAGAAGGTTACTGGAGGCGTGTTATTGGTAGAATGTTCTAATTTGTTGCTGTCTTGCGATACTTTCCGTTTTAAAATAGATACCGGTCCTACGGTGGTCGTAGCGCAAGGTAATGAAGGATTATCTACGATTATAGAGGGTATTTCATCGAGTGAATTCTTCTTTAGTATCGAAAATAGCAGCGATTTTTCCTGCTCGGGTTTCCTGTAATTCTTTTTCTGATCGAAGTCTTTTTTCGGGGATTCCCTGCTTTTATTCGTCAGTCTTTCGACTCTAGCGAGAGTCTGTTTGGTTAGAGCCGACAATCCTTCCATTCTTCCGGCGATGGCTTTGGTCTTCTCGTCGTCCGAAGCGATCATTCTTTGGCTTTTCGGACTGCTCGGTAACCTGTGTAACGAATCGTTGGATCGGACTCTTTCGTTTAATCTAGTAGTGGAGGATCTGGGACTGGTGGTAGACGATTTGGGATTGGAAGTGACGACTCGTTTGGCGTACGGTTTGTATTTTCCCATTTCGGAGTAGGGTGATGTGACGTTTCTGCGTGCGTTCTCCATGTGCTCGCTCAGTTCGGATTTTTTATGCGTTTGTTTTGATGGTGTGACGACGGCAGTGTTCGGTGATACAGTTGGACTAGTTAAAGAGGCAGTTGTTGTGTTGGTGTCGCATCCCGAGCTCGAGACTGTCGATGATTCAAATAGTTCGGCGGGGAAGAAGCGTCTTCGACGTCTACGGTCTTTTACGTCGCCTGGAAATGTAACAAATGAGATACTATTTTAATAAACCCATTTTTTATCTTATTTTAAACATTTAGTTATTTAGTTAGTGATTTAAGCGATTATCCTCTTAGAATAGCAGTCTGATATCAACTTGACCCCTGGAATTTTCAGTATCTCCATCTGAGACTACAAAAGTCATTGAGTCAAGAAAACATCTTATACTTATAGTTTATTTTGTACGCTGAGTTCGAATACTTTCATTTAATTGATAGGATAATAAAAAGTAGTGTAAGTTTTAATAATAATTCAATATTTCTGTTAGTTTTGGAGATAACAATGTTTAAAAAATTGTACTTACTATTTAATTCGGTCAATGGAACCTCCTCAGAGTTTAGCGAACGATTAAGGTTCGATTTCCTTTTATTGCTCTTATCTCTTTCTATTCTCTTACTGTCTGCTGCTTTCGGTTCGCTATCGTTTACATCATTATTTGCTGATAATTTCTGAAAACGACAATAAAATAATAAGTTTTTACTTGTTATAAGAATAGGTAATCAAGGCCTAAGAAAAAAGAAGAAAAAGGAGAAAAAGAAGACTAAGAAGATGTTGATTTTACAATCTGATTTCGCCATAAAAATGTTAGCAACTTTGTATATGATATGTGTTTGTAATTAGTGTCTTAAATATTATGGTAGATATTTATGTTTCTTAAGTAATATTCTGGGAAAGATATTGACCTATGTTATACGAGTTAGTATATTTAATAGTGTAGGAATTTTATTCATTTAATTAACATTTAGGTTATGATAATTGTACGACTGAAATCAAATGACTATTTAACAATATATTCACTTTACTTTATGCAGATAGCACATAAAGTCTATGCCTTGGTACCAACACCTATAACCTTAATATATTGAGATTTACTTAATTATGTAGTAGGGTATTATCCGTACTAACAAAGATAATTCTTCTTATAGTTTAAGATAAAATACTTTTTACTATAACGACACATATTTGTAATTATTATTTGTTTTTATATATTTGAAGCTATTAACTGTGACTGTGTTTAAAATAAAGCCTTTCTCCACTCAGAACGAAACCGGAGCTAGACCTGAACACGTTCTGCGTTCTACGGGGAATTTAGGAGACAATAAAGAAATAATTTAAGAAAAATTTAGAAGCTAGAAGATTTGTTATTTAGAAATACAGTAATTCATTTATAATTTCATAAGAATAAATATTATATCTTTAAAAATCACCTGAGATAAAGCGGCAGCTCGCAGTCTAGATGCTATTGTGGGTCTGGGACTTTCCGAGGCGTTGGATGAGTTTCCATCTTTGTAGTTTGTAGTAGTTTGAGCTCTCGTAGATTTTGATGGAGATTTGTAGGAGGAGAACTGCTCGTTGAGTTGTCTTCGTCTTTCTTCTTTGTATCGAGCGATGCGTTCTAACCTAAAAAAAATCCGAATTGAACATGGAATCATGACAGTTATTATAGGTGTTTCAACTTCGATCAACTCCTTATCAGTTCAATTTAAGATAGTAAGCAGTTTAGATGTTTTTAAACGACTTTTCGTTTAACGTTATATATAATGCTTTAAATGGAGTAAATGTATCTGTGAATGAAATATGAGTTGCCAGCAGCTGCCTTCTTTGACGCAATGGAAAAAAATGAAAGCAAGATCGATCCAAAAAAAGTTATTTATATAGTCAGGTTTTTTATGATCCCCTATAATGTTAAAAAATTTCCCTTTCCCAATAAAACACTCTGTATTAGTAAATTAATAATTTATTAGTGTTTTAGATTATAAAACTAAAAATAAACCAAATTTCTTATATTTTCTGTAATTTGTTTTATTTAAGGTAAAAATATTTCTAATTTTCAAGTTCCTACCTTTAAAAAATCGATGTCCCCATATGAACTTTCATCCCCCCCCAAATTTTAACCTCCCCTCTCCCTGTCTTTCCTTGAAATATTAAAATTTAAAAACACTGAAACAAGTCATTATTTATTTGTGATGAGTAGCTATAATTTAAATTTTCAAGTTCCTACCTTTAAAAAATCGATATTTCTATACAACTTTCACCCCCTGTTTCCCCCCCCTTAAAATTTGAAATTCCAAAAACCCTGATACACATTATTATTTATTTATGCTTAGTAGCTGTATTTCAAATTTTCATGATTCACTACCACTATACAAAAAATCATGTTGATCCCTTGCTCTGTGAAAAACAAAATAAATATATTTCACTAGAACAGTAAATTTTTCCGGGATAAAAAGTAGTCTATGTGCTTTTCCAGACTATAATCTACAACTGTGCCAAATTTCATCCGATTCTGTTCAGCCGTTCTGACGTGATTGAGCAACATCCATCCATCCAACACAAATAGTGTCAAACTATTAGATGTGCCACTAGGTGGAGGTTACTTTATTAAAACTGTTAGCGGTTTTTAACCACTTTGTTGTCTGATGATGATCATTTTGACAGAAACCAGTTACCATTAAAAATTAAAAAATAAATTTGTTGTTAAGACCTCGAATTATCTTTCCTTAACGGACATATCGCATTTGAAATATGGATAACATTCTTAAATAATTAAAAAAGTACTTACCTCGATTCTGGATTTTCAGCCATTTCTATGTGATGATCTTGCAGGTTTCCATGTATAAAAAATCGCGGCCAACTAGATAGTCGAGGACGCCGTATTGGATGTTTATCTGGAACAAACGAAGATCCTTATTTAGGCGTTTCGTTTTTATTAAAATCACATTCATCAGTATCTTTTTTATCAAGGAAACCGTTCCTCGAATTTTCCCGATTTAAGACTACATACAAAACACATAGTTTGCACACATATGAATAAAATAAACAACAGATCTTACAAATTGTTTGATAACGTGTTTAAGAATTTTATCACGTATTGACACCTTATCTTTTTGATTATTTACTACTAATTGTTTTCAATAACGGTATTTTTTATACTTTTGTACTATAAAAAATGATGGTAACGTACAGTCATAAAAAATTACGTGTTATTACAGCTAAAACGCGAAATTAAAAACCATATTGCAAACCGGTTGTCTATATTGTAATTAAAAATGCATTTTATGTTTATTTCAAATAGAATTTTATTGTTCAGCGGGCAGGAAATATTTCCTATTCAACGATAAGAACGTGGTAGATAAGTTTGTATACGTACATAACTATCTAGTTTTTGATGTCATGAAAGACAGTCCAACTAAAACGGATCTTGAACAGGACCGTAATTAGATCAAATGTATCTACTTTAATTAGATTTGCATGAAAGCTTTAAAAATTACAGAAAATTGATGACACCTTTTTGTGATTTTTAAAATGAAAGAGGAAGAAAACGAAACACGAGCTTTTTTCTTTAATTAAACATGCTCAAAAGGGTCAATATTTTACAGGGGCGCATATATGACTTTTAAACCTAACTTTTTAAAGATACTAGAACGTACTATTATCCAAAGTCTTAAATATTACCACTACCCCCCTCCAGACTTAAACTGTATTATCACTTCCCTCCAGACTTAAACTCTGGATGCGCCACTGATATTTTATACCTGGTGTCTAGGTAGCCATGGGCATCGTTACACAATTCTATAGGAAGGGGCAAAATTTTGAAAAAATTTAGAATGTTTATTTGTTAGAAAACAAAGAAAATGAAAAATAAAAGAGAATTTTCTTATGATGGATTTAATCATTCTGTGACGTCATGGCTTTCTTCCGGTTTTTCCAGAAATAACAGAAAATGGCAATTTATTTTTATTTTTAAATGAAAACCCTTTTTCTTATTGATAATTTGAATTTATGGGACATTTTTGTATAAGAAGCTTGTATTGAAAATTTTCTGTCAGTAAAAAAAATATTTTTCAATATGGCCATTTTGACAGCTGACAGAAAATTTTCTGTTATTTCCGATGAAGTCCACCAATTGAATCCACTAATGAGAATATTTGTCCCAAATAATTTTTCATTCCAATATATCAATTAACAACGAAGATAAAAGCGGATGGAATTATTAAACGGTTTGCTAATAATAAAAATGCTTAGATACGCCACTGGTATACGGTAAATGGGTCTCAATGGGAATTTTGAAGCCTAAAAAGATTTCATAAATTTCGTACATTCCTATTTGTTTTTCCATAAACGAATTAATAGTAACATATTTAGAAAAAATATTATCCAATATGGCGGCCATTTTGACAGCTGAGATAAATTTACAATAAAAAAGAGGGTTTCTTTTTAAAAATAAAAAAAATTTGGATTTTCTGTTATTTCCGGAAAAACCGAAAGTAAGTCATGACGTCACAAAACAATTGAATCCATCATAAAAAAGTATTTGTTCTAGTCTTTCAAACAGAACAAAATTATTCCGATATCTCACTGAATAGCGAAGATAAGGGGGAGTGGAACTTTAGTAGTAACCTAACAAGGTCACTGACCTATTTGACAGAACTGATACTTAATTTGTCATAACAAGTCTCTAATAAATAAAATAACCTAACAAAAAAGAGAAAAACTAAAATAAAAAAAAAACAAGAAACTTAACAACTTAAAAAAAACAAAGAGTGATATAAAAGAAAAATATGAACAAGAAGACAGCCATACATAATATAAAAAATAAAAAATAATAAAAAAACAAAACATAAAAAACTCACTCAAACACGACGATGTACACAAAAAAAAATTCATTTTTCTCTACTAAAAACATCGATAACAGAAAACTTATTTTAGTTTTCAGTCAGCCTATTTTCATTTATTATTGGCTCCGTGCGTGACAGCAGCGCCAACTATTTTATGAACTAACGGACGATATTTGCGTATACTGACAATACAATTTTTAATAGAGTTTGTTAATATTAGTATAATATATATGTTAATTTTAATAAAAGTATATGGATTTGCAAAACAAGTGAAAAAATGATTATTATATATTTTTATTACTACAGCTAAAAAAAGTAGTATAATCAATAAAAATCAATAATAAAACGTAGGCAGGTATTTACGAGAAAATCTTGCCTAAGCTTACTAAGTTGTCATTGAAGAATAGGTTAAATAATGTCAAAATAAAAACATTACCATTGTATAATCGTAGAATTAAAACGTATTAACAAAAATAATTGGTATATTTGTGATTGTAATTTATATTTTCTTCATTTTTAGTTCGAAAGAACCCATAGAAATTACTGATTAAAACTGGTTTCCTATCAATAAGTCACAAGATTACATTTCAGCCATATACAATAATCAAAGGCAGAAATCTAATCATTTGCTAGACATTTAAGATTTAAGGGATGTTGAAAAATATCATAAAAAAATAATTTTTTGTTTATTTAAAACCTTTTCTGATGTCTATTATTTCCAGTATTACTGTTATTACAGTAGAACCTCGATTATCCTGGCCATCCCGACCGAGCCTTCACCGGATAATCGAAAACATGAATCCAAAGACCTTATTTTAATTTTTTTAATAATTTATTTAGACAAATACATGTGTCAAACGAAGAAAAGAAACGTAATACTAGATACATGTAACAAAAAATAAGTTTTAATATTTATACCTAAAAAATCACTAATTTTTGTTTGTTTTTGGGATTAGTAACTTCTACACTTTATAATCTCCTTCATTTTTCTAAGCTGGAGCACATGAATGTCATCATTTCCAGATTGTTCTTCAAAATATTGGATAAGTACATTTACTGCATCACCTGCTTCTCGATGACTTGTTTTGATGACGCAATTATTCTCATCGTCATCACTACTTTCGTCAGTACTTTCTGCAGAGGTCTGATTATTTAGATAATCGACATTTATAATTTGATATCCTTTTTCTTCGTAATCACATTCTATCCATTCCTGTATTTTTTCGTTATCCATTTCTTCCAAACCTTTGATTTGGGAAGCTATAGATGTTGTTTTCGATTGATAACTCATCTTCATTTAAGTCATTATCATCTTCAGAACCTTCATCTGATGTATCTTCTAAAATCCTCTTTTAATATTAGTCGCTTTTACTTCACTCCAAGCGCGAGCTACAACATACATTGCTTCTTTCAAATTTAGACGTTTCCAAAACCCCATAAAGTCACACTCTCCCAGCAGTTGAAGCATAAGGTCTTTCCTATAACACCTTGGTCCATTGGCTGGGCAATAGATGTTACATTCGGAGGAAAATATGTTGCGAATATTTTCCCATCTGCTGACTTTAGTTGCTCAACATCAGGATGCGATGACGCATTATCCAGTAACAGTACAGCCTTGGGTGGAAGGTTATTTTCTTGCAAATAAGGTCTAACTTGGGGTATACATTTTAAACCACTACGCTGCCGTTTGATTATAATAATTAACAGGCAGTGTTTTTACATTTTTAAAAGCCCTTGGACTTTTGGATTTTCCTATGACTGCTAATCTAAGCTATATTCCTGATGCAATAGCACAGCATTAAACGGCATTTGTTTACTTTGAAACCTAAAAAAATTACTTTGAAAAAACGCTATATACTTACGTAAAAATATGTATGTAAAGCTAACCTGGTGCTAGTTTCTGAGCCTGCAACAAGTGTTCTTCTCGGTATTGCTTTCCAATAAGGTCCAGTTTCGTCTCCATTATACACTTGCTCAGGTTTTAAGTCGTGCTCCTTTATAAGATTTGTCAAATCATAGCAAAATTCTACCATAGCTACATCATCAGCACTTAACTTCTCGCCTTGAACAGCTAATTCTCGTATTCCATGTCGTTTTTTAAACCTGTATAGACAACCAGAAGATGCCAGAAGTTTTTTTCATTTTCAACTGCTCGTGAAACCTTTGAGCTTGCCTAGCACACATGGGTCTTGATATTGAACACCTTCTAATCTTTTCTGCAAGAACCACCTGGTCATAGCATCAACAAGCTATCGAAATGTAGACCCTTTTACAGATTTCTTGTCAGAAATAGCTTTTGCATTGTCATCTTTAGCTACAAAGCTCTAGAATTCGTCTTTTTTCTTCACAATGTCACGAACCGTTTGTTTTCCAATGTTATATGTTTTAGCCAACACAGCAACACTTATGTTATTTTCAAATCGTTTTAAAATTTCCATTTTTTGTTCAATAGTTAGAAAATTGCGCTTACGCTTTTCATTAGCTGCATTTTGTGCGTCTGTTTATGTTTAACTAACGAGTCGGTCGGCAGTTGGCGAAAATAATAACTAAATACATAAATGAGGGATTTTCATAGATGAACTTGGTGATTCCCCGAACGTCTGCACGGTGCATTATTCAGTTCAGCGTTCATGCGCTAACCTCTGGCCGTCAGTCAAAGATAATTAGCGCACGGATGATCAATTTAAAATGCCGTACGGAGAATCCGCCACCCGGATAAAGCGTGCACGGATAATCGGGGTTCTACTGTATTAGAAAAATAATAGTAATTTACGTTACAAGACCGGAAAGTAGTGTTTTACAAAATCACTTGTTTTTGTTAAAATTCCCCCATATTTGATCTGAAAATCCTTATTTCTGGCCTTACAGAAAACTCAGCGGTGATTTTATAGAAACCAGTTTGTAGAGCTTTTAAAAAGAAATTTAACGATGCAAACCACTTCTTCAGAGGTTAAACGATAGTCAAGTTATTTAACAAAAACAATTTTCTGTTAAACTTCAATCTGAAGATCCTATTATCTTGCCCTACAGACAACACAACATGAATTAGT